CAGGGTCATTTATCCATTACACAGTTCAGATCCAGGTTACCACAACCTTCAAAGAGACATAGAGACGATAATACTATTTCTCTCAAGTATCCTACCCAGTTGCTACAGTTGGGCCCTGGGTCAGGTCAGTCTGGGAGGTAATTAACTCTTTCTGGCCCTGTCACCTTCCAATGAGATATTAGATCACACTCAATGTCACAGGGGCACAGATATGGGGGAAGGGAATGGGGGGCACAGACACGGAGGGGAAATCAGGGATCAGGTTGGGCCGGTTAGCTGGACCCAGAGAAGTTGGGGTGTTGGGGGAGGAAGGGGACTGGCTGGGGGGCCCCAGACTGACCCCTCTCTCTGCCCCCCAGGACTGGAGGGGGAGGCGTTGCTGCAGGAGCTGGCGCGAGGCTACGTGGCAGCGATGGGCGACATGGAGGGCAGGAAACCCGGCCCCACCAGCATCCTGGGTATGGTAGGGACACCCCCTCATGCCTGGCACCCCCTGGGCACTGGGGCCCCCCCATGCCCACCAACACCTAGCCCACAGCTGCCTCCTGGGGCCCCCTCCACTGTCCCTCCCAGCTGCCCCACGCGCCCCCCGGAGCCTAGCAGCCCCCACGCCTGTGACATGTGGGGGGGCGCGTGGGAGGGTTGTCGGCTATGCATACCTGGGCTGGGTGTGGGGGGCTGGGGACAGGAGGGGGGTGCTATTTTGGGGACCCTGCAGGGCGCCTGTGTGACCCCCACTCTCTCTCCCCCCAGGGACGTCCCAGCTGCGCCCGGGCGAGCCGGCCGGGTACCGGATCCCCTTCAACCCCAGTGCCACCGGCTGCGGGGCCGCCATGCGCTCCATGGCCATTGGGCTCAGGTGGGGGGCGGGGCCCCAGGGGCCATGGGGCACCCCGGGGAAGGGGGTGGAGGTGGGGGGTCTCAGGAGGAGACTGGGGACAGAGCATCCAGGAAGATGGGGGCTCTGGGTCTTGGGGGTCTGGCGGGTGCATCCCAGGGGGCGCTGGGGGGTTCTGGTGTCAGGGGACACCTGGCTGGGGGGCATGACCCTGCACTGCCCCTGCCTCCCCCAGGTACCCACGTCCCACAGAGCTGCCGACCCTGATCCGGATCAGCGTGGAGAGCGGGCGCATGACGCACCATCACCCCACAGGTAGGGGGCACAGGGGCTGGAGGGGAAAACGGTCCCACACTCCCACCCCGGCATCCCCCTCCCCCTTGCAGGGGACTGGGGGGCCGTGTGGGGGGCCATCCTCCCAATCTCCCATTGGGGGTTTCTGGGAGGGCTGTGGGAGGTCCCACAGGGAACTGGGGGGGCCCGGTCTGAGCAGTGGCTCTGCCCCCAGGCCGGGGGGGAAGGGTACCGGCGTCTCTGTGCGGGGCCCCTGATGGACGCTTCCCCGCTGCAGGGTACCTGGGGGCGCTGGCCTCGGCCCTGTTCACGGCCTATGCAGTGCGGGGGCTCTCCCTGGCGCAGTGGGGGGCCGGCCTGCTGCAGACGCTGCCCCTGGCCCAAACCTACGTGCGGGACGCGGGCATCGACACCCAGCCCAACCTGGACGCCTGGGGGTACTTCCCCCAGAAATGGACCTGGTGAGTGCAGGAGGTAATGGGGGGACAGAGCCCCGGGCGAGGCTGGGGGTGCCAGGCGCAGGGCAGGGGATGGGAAAGGGGGTGCACAAACCCTGGGGGGTGGAGCCGGGGTGTCAGGCGCAGGGCGGGGGATGGGAAAGGGGGCGCACAAACCCTGGGGGGTGGAGCCGGGGTGCCAGGCGCAGGGCGGGGGATGGGAAAAGGGGCGCACAACCCCTGGGGGGTGGAGCCGGGGTGCCAGGCACAGGGCGGGGAAAGGGGGTGAGGCCGGGAGCAGTCAGCGGTCTGGTCTCATCCCTGCCCGCAGGTATCTGGCTGAGCGGGGCCTGGCCGAAGGACATGGCCCCCCCCCGGTTCCCCTCCCCCTATGGCCCGGCGGAGCGGGACGGGGTCTACCAGACCTTCAGCCTGGAGGGCTGGGCGGGGCGCAGCGGGCACGACGCCCCCATGATCGCCTACGACGCGCTGCTGGGCGCTGGCGACTGCTGGGACGAGCTCTGCAGCCGGGCCATGTTCCACGGGGGTGAGTCCGGCTGCCCCAGAGCCAGCCGCATCCCCGGCCCCACCGTGCCCTAGGGCCAGCCGCACCCCTTATGCTGCATCCCAGAGCCAGCCGCATCCCCGGCCCCACCGGGCCCTAGGGCCAGCCGCACCCCTTATGCTGCATCCCAGAGCCAGCCGCATCCCTGGCCCCACCACGCTCCAGGGCCAGCCGCACCCCCAGTCCCGCTGCTCCCCAGAGCCAGCCGCACCCCAGGGTCAGCCGCCTCCCAACTCTGAGCCCTGTATAACCAGCCCCCTCCGCCCGCCGCATCCTGGCCCCGATGTTGGTATACACAGCTCCTAGAGCCCTGCCCCAGAGCCAGCCGCATCCGAACTCCAATATACACAGCCCCCAGCTCCCTGCCCCAGAGCCAGATGCATCCTTGCCCTGATGCTGGTATACACAGTGCCCGGCATCCCGTCCCAGAGCCAGCTGCATCTCGGCCCCCATATACACAGCCACCGGCACCCTGCCCTAGAACCAGCCGCATTCTGGTCCCGATGCCAGTATACACAGTCCCCGGTGTCTCACCCCAGAGCCAGCTGCATCTCGGCCCCCATATACACAGCCACCAGCACCCTGCCCTAGAACCAGCTGCATTCTGGTCCCGATGCCAGTATACACAGTCCCCGGTGTCTCACCCCAGAGCCAGCCGCATCCCGATGCCAGTACACACAGCTCATGGCCCCAGAGACTACCTCA